TAATAATTATAATTATAAAGTAATAATAATAATAATAATTATAATAATAATAATAATGGAAACTTTATTGAAATTATATACGTAAAAATACAATAATAAATCTCACTAATTTAGGTAATTTATAATTGGCTACTTGAACCTATATAATATTTATATATTAATAATGAGTATCCTTAAATGTTCAGTAATTCTGGATTTGACCAGTCCTTATCTCTGCAACAAAATATATAATATGTTGTCCTAATCGCGATAGACATAATTTTCCTGATAGCAAAATGTTGGTGTCTTTTATCAAGACCTAGATCATGTAACATATCTAAAAAGGAATGACATTCTTTTGAGAAGATGCCTAAAGAACTAATTGACAAATTTACACATTTTACGGACTTAAATTGTTCTTTTGCTGTGTAATGAGATCTTCGTATCTTCTTCTTTTCCGATCAACATTTGTTTGTAGATTAGACTCATAACCAACAGAAAGTTCAAGGATATAGAGACAATCCGAGTTGATAGATAGAAGTAGGTCTGGGCGGAATGTGTCACCAGTTACAATTGATGGGCTTTTATAACCAGGAAGATCAACGAAAAGATTGGAGTTGTTTACAGGTTGTAGCGTTTGTGCTATGAAGTTCAGAACAGAATCATGTCTCCATGTAAATCGTGGGAGATACGTTTGACATCCAGGAACTACGTGTAAAAGGGTTTCAGGGTTTAAACAGAAGGAGCAATCAGAGTTGGACAATATTCCCCATTTAGTAAGGTTTTTACGAGTTGGAAGTGAGTTATTGATGTAACGAATGGTGAAGTTATAGATGTTCTTTGGGAGGTTTGATCGGGATTTAGACCATATGCCGTTTAATTTCGACAGTGAAAACTTAATGACATTTGAGAAGGAGCCTTGCAAAATCAGATGATTCTGCAGTTTGTCTTCTTGTCCGGAGGTAAAAGTTTTAAGGACTTCCTTTGTCGAGGTAGGAGCCTTGCAAAATCAGATGATTCTGCAGTTTGTCTTCTTGTCCGGAGGTAAAAGTTTTAAGGACTTCCTTTGTCGAGGTGTAAACGTCGTACTGAGTGTTTTTGCTTTCAGTTGTTGCTTTCCAGAGGTCTTTTATGGAATGATTTGGAGAGGTCTTTAAGGCGTTACAAGCAACTGTTTGGCACTGAGCAAACTTAATTGACGGCGGGTAGATATTTAGACCAAACTTGTTGCTGGTAAGGTAGACGTTACATGGAGTTCCTGATATAGGTATTTCAAGCCATTTACGTACGTACCTGTTCACCACAGAATCCATATTTTCAGAGACTCGGGTTCTTGATATGGTGGTTACAGTGAAATGCCAGGAAAGTTTGGATAGGAGGTAACGACTATAAAGCAAAAGTTTATTTTTCGGGTGCAAAGGTTTGAGATCAAAGCAAAAGTTTATTTTTCGGGTGCAAAGGTTTGAGATCAATTAATAATAATAATAATAATAACAATAATAATAATAATAATAATAATAATAATAGTAATAATAATAATAATAGTAATAATAATAATAATAATAATAATAATAATAATAATAATAATAATAGTAATAATAATAATAATAATAATAATATTAATAATAATAATAATAATAATAATAGGAAATACTTTATTTCAAATACCAATACATAATTATTACACTGGTATTGGAAAAAGGTAGTAATAATAATAATAATAATAATAATAAAAATACTTTATTTCAAATACCAATACATAATTATTACACTGGTATTGGAAAAAGGTAGACCTTGTGCTTAGCCCAATATTCAGGTCACCGCATTTGAATTTAATCTAGTATAAAAAGTTATAAAATATGTACAAATGTCCTCGATTTTTACGAACTTAATACCAATCTTAATAAATGTTCATATACTTCTTGAGCCTTGCTTTAAATGTTCTTATATCAGGCTCGTTACCGCAATTACCACAATGCTTGGCAAATCATTCCACAGTATAACTACTCTAACGAAAAAAGAGTACTTGTGACAATCTACTCTAGTAAACTTAGTTTCCAATTTGTACGGATGGTTACCCTAGTTTTCTTACTCTTACAATGTTCAAAATGGTCGCTGAAGTTTAGACCGTTTAAATTAAAGACAGTTTTATAACGTTCGATCAGTGAGAAGTGTTCTCTTCTTCTTTCCAATGAACTCCAATTTAAGAGATGAGAACCCTTGAATTAAGAGATGAGAGCCCTTGAGGACTCCAAATTAAGAGATGAGAGACCTTCAAAATTGTTCAAAATCTTCTGAAAACATTTGATGACTTGAAGTACAAGACGAGTCTCTTCTTGTTGATGTTGTTTCTCAAGCCATCACCATCTTTGCATGATGATCAGTTGCATCAAGAACACAGCTAGCTCTATCATGTTTAAACCTTAGAACCTATCATTGTTTGAAACCATTTACACCATAATTATTATTCAAACTGCCAAGGTGACTAAGACCCCGTTTACACGGTACCGGACGAATTTGGGACAGGACGAATTCGCGTGTAAACAGGCGGAACAGGACGAATTTCAGGCCGGTCACAAATTCGTCCGGTACCGTGTAAACGGGGTCTAAGTATCAGAGTTGAAAATTAAAGTTAGCATTTTCAAAACTGAATTGAATAGTCAAATTGTTAAATTATTAAAATATTGATTATTTATATTATATTAATACAGTAAATCATATTTAAGTTTGAGTAAACATATTATACAGCATGAAAATATATTTGTTACATAATGGTAGTGTTGCGCCACCTGACAGTGTTTTTTTTTATCCAGAGCTTTGCGGTATAGAAAATAGATTTATACATTTCCATGGTTGATCATGAGTTCGAATTCTTCGATATTATTATTGAATGACTTTTCACTTCAAAATATCACTTACGGTATCAAAATTAAATGAGTCATACCAAGATCAAATATATTGTTGAACCCCTTAAGCGGCAACGCTCTCCCATTGGCGAGTAAAATCATCTGGCGTTAGACAGAGTAAAATAATAAAGTATAGGACGCATCAGGGCGCAATGCGACTCAATTGGTTAATTGGACACATGCGAAGTTAGGCCAGTTAATTAAACCATTAAGCCCCCAGCACGATCTCCCCTTGAAGAGTAAAATCGTCTGGTGTTAAACAGAGTAAAATAATAAAGTAGGGTGCAATGCGACACAATGGGTTAAATTTTAAACTCTAGGTCCAATAAAAATCCTTTTAAACAGCTGAATTGATAAAAACTTTTAAAATATGTTTGATTTTGAGTTTTTCCCCCAGTATGCCATTGCTAAAGAAGGCCAGGTCCAAAATTTTAGATTATTTGGTAACCTGGCAATCACAGTTTGCGTTGAGTTAGTTGTTTCAAAATGTGAGCTTTAAAATTTAGGATATATAGCATGCATATACCAGTACTTTTTTAGGATAATTACTGACGTTTGTGCGAAATAGGTACAAGTTCAATTTCAAATTGTTATGTTAATTATGTTATAGTTTCTGTTTTCCAGCGATCTATTGCCAGTACAGTATATGTATAGTATAAGACAAATGTGCCCATGCACGCCTTTCCTTGTCACATTTTGAGCTGGGTTGTTCGTATTGAATAAAGATTGCTAACAAATTTTAAGGCCTGACAATAAATAGATTTCGTTCCTTCATTTGCGAACTGGTCCAACAAAGTGGGAAAGGGTGTTAGATCAGATCCATAAGTTGCACTGATCACAGCCGTTGAACGGCGATGCATATAATAGATATAGTACTATCTACAAACATGCAGACTTTAACTACAATGAACATATTGACCTCCACTCGTCTGTGATGGAAAAGGGGGTTGAAACATCGCATGCAGAACAAGTCTGCAATTGAAAGACAATTTATTTGTCGACAATCCCTGTTAATACAAGTATAAACTATATATGAGGATTTTGCTTACACATTACTGTACAACATAATTATATGAATTGTATATTTAAAATTTCTACATGTCAAATTGAAAAATTGCACCAGTACTAGTAAGTAACATAGTAACATAGCAATGTATTTTATAACATAGAAGTGGTATTTTCAAAAATCAGCATCAATAATACTGATAAAAAATAAGAACAGAAAAAATCAATTTAAAAATTTTAAAAATGTATTCTCCCCGAGCCCTGGCGTAAGCCCGGAGCGAGGGTACTAATTCGGCCCGGCTATTTACACCCGAGGAAACGAATGCAAAAGCGAAGTCTAAAGTTCATCAATGATCGCGGGCGTGGGTGACCAACGGTGGGTTGTCATTCTCACTGATCTCAGAAATATGGCGGACTGTCATGAATAGCGAGCACTGATTGGTCAAATTTAAAATTTGCATTATAACGACTGCATAACGACAACGAAATAGCAAACATTTCTTCATTTGATGATTTCTTGCAAATATATTTCATTAGTTTGCCAGATTTTGTGAATTTCAAAAGCATTTTAAGAAAAAAGGGCGAAAGAACGGCTAAAAGAAGGGAGCAATTAGCAAAGCCGCCGACGTTAACGAAGGTAAGATTTAAATATTAATGTATTGTTTGCCTTATAATTGCTTTAAAAGCCGATCGCATAAACGTTGCGTATAAACGAGTTTAACAGGACAGCATACAATTTCAGTGTATACTTTATTGACAACCCTTTTTTATTATATTAATTTTTTTAAATAAAAAGGAAGGCAAAGTTAACAGGTTTAACAGGACAGCATACAATTTCAGTGTATACTTTATTGACAACCCTTTTTTATTATATTAATTTTTTTAAATAAAAAGGAAGGCAAAGTTATTTGCATGCGAGAATTTGAAATCATTTTATTTCAAACTCAAAGTTTATCGATAAAGCCAAAAGACAGTTTAGTTTATAAATAATACTTTAAAAGGTTTTGCGAAGCGTTTGTGGTTGAATTTTACCTCATCATAGTCTACATCACATAAGAATCACGTGAGATTGCGCGAGCAAGCTATATCATGTGCCGTAAGCTTTCGATCATGGCAGACGCCAAGGTGAACGAGGTGAAAGAAAAATCCAATTTTTCGGACGAAGACGAGGAAAGGTTGCTCGCCGAAGAGGGCGAACAAATACAAGATTATGTCACCACCGGTGACACAAATAATGATTCCACTAGGATGTGGGAGGCCATCAAGGGCCTTGGAAAGAAACTCGATCTTTTGGCGGGAACGCCAAATACATGCATCACCGATGCTTCACTGAAGCGGAAAATACTGCACAGAGTGACCAAAGAGACAAAAAATGACGCAGAAACCCCACCGGGGCCTTCTCGTCGAAAGAAGCAAAAATCTTCATCGGCTTGCGACGATACATCTGATGATTCTGATCTAGAAGTTACAGCCTTGCTTGACAAAGAACAAGATGGTGACGAGACTAGAGTGATAAACTCTTGCAAGAGATTGAAGAAGTATACAACAACGAGGACAAAACAGGTCCGGATGTAAACGTACATCTAGCAAACCTAGTCAACAAAAGATTTGCTGGGAAGCTCAAAGTAGCAAAACTCAAAGAAAAATGCGAGCTGTATATCCGACCTGGAAATTGTGATAAACTCAAAGTTTCTCTCGTGAACCCCGAGCTGTGGGGGAAACTTGGACCACCGGTCAAAACACAGGACTTGAGAATCGAAAATGTCCTGCAGGCCATAGTGAAAGCAACTGTAGCACTGACCGAGGCAACAGAAAGAATTACAAAAGTCACGGGGAACATCGAAGGTAAACAAAAAATTATAACCTGTTTGACTGACTCACTTGCTCTGCCGAGACACGCAACTTATGACCTATCGTTGCGACGGCGAGACATCATGAGGCCATCAATAAATCGGGAGCTTCGTGCCCTTTGCAGTCCGCAAATCCCTCTTACAGATTTCTTGTTGGGGGATGATGTACAAAATAGTTTAAAAACTATTAAAGAGTGCAACAAGATTGCCAGCTCAGCAGTCACGCAAGGGTCGGATTACAATCACAAACCGACCTATTCTACAGGGGGAAATTACACGCCGCAAGATCATGGGGATGAAAGCAAGCCTTTTTTAGGCCAGCGCAAAGGCTACCAGCCATTCAAAAAGAAAGTGTGGACTCCACACTACTAAAGCGGGGACATTAAGTAATCCTCACAGAAACATTACAAACAGTGATTGATGATGTAAGTAAGTTTGATAGTCTTTTACCACGTATTATGACAGGTCTATAGAGCAAAGTGTTAGGACCTTCAAAGCAGGTAATCTTTCTAGTTTCCTTAATAAATGGAAATCAATTAGATCTGATAAAGAAATAATTGATATGGTAACTGGTACAATTATTGATTTTGCACATATACCAGTCCAATCTAGGCCACCGGCCATACAAACATTTTCAGACTCTGAGGTACAGATCATGGATGACTTATCAGCATTTTTTAATGGACACACTTTTCTCAGTAGTTAAACCTATGAGACAAAATTGCTGATGGCAAGCGAATTGTGAAGACAACTTGCTTGGGTTTAACACAAGATTTATTTGTGTGTATTTTATACAATTCTTGTCATCAATAACTATACCCCTAATATTACTTGTAAATTTCCATTTTACATATTTTTCTAACACAGTTGTCAGGGCTATTATTCTATTTCTCCATGATTATATATTCTTTATATTTCCCCCGCTCGGATACGCAAGAATAACTATGCAGTATTACATGACGTAAATCAACAAATCAACAATATTGCTGACCGATAATATTGCAGCTTCTAGTAATATGAGTCTCAAGAAAAAGCTTTCTTCGAGCTTCATTTTGATACCATGCACGAAAGCAAATATGTAACTTAAAAGAGAAAAATTTGTGATTGAACGCACGGAATCTAGTCCCAGAAAGAATTGTAATAGTGTAAATTTTGAACGTTTTTGAACGTAAAATGGGAAGGGCAAACAAAGTTTCGCTTTCAACATTGAATGGCCATTTAATAGTACAAAATACGAACTTCGATATGCAATGTGGATATATTGGTCAACATTGTTTAGTTCGTCATTGTCGAACCGCAAAAACCATGCGTTTGTCCATTTTGTCGTCAATATTCCAAGGTTAGTATGGTTATACTATTGCACTGCTTTGTATTTATTCGGAAAGGTTACATTGGCGAATATAAACTCCAAGTATAGCTTAAAGTCATCGTTTGTATGCGTACAGCTATGCTCGATGTGGACAAATTCGAATCAGTTTGTAGATAAAGTTCTGTTTCACATTTTGTGAAATGCATATAGTAATTCCTAGTTATTTCTGGACGCCATGTTTTGATATTTGATACGCATAGTCAGTAAATAGTGTCTTAAATTTCTGGCCATGATCGCGAACTCAAAACCGGGCGACCATTTTACGCGCAGGTCGCGAAAACTGATTAACAAAATGAAAGAACTTCCAAAATGACCTGACCTTAGTAGTTGCTTGCGCCATATCATATCATAATTATTTCAAGTGTATGAACAATGTTTATTAAAGCTCAGAGGTTCCGAAATATATTTGTTGCCATATGGCAACATTGCCAATGGTAACATGACACTGATTATTATGACACATATTTATATTCTTTTAGAGGGTAAATAGTTTGGTCTAAGTCACAAAATCATATATATTTCAGATGGTGCTCTTGAAATATACTTTTAGAGTCTATTTAGAACCGAGATTTTGTATTTTTAAGCACAATATTGCCTTGTTCTGATTTTTGAGAAGCACATCTGGGTTGTATATGTTATATTTTGTACTCTAGTTGCTTGTAAAACCACAAGACATATATTCTTTGCAATGTAAACACTTAAAAGAACAACCCCTGACCCTATTTTTTACATGGCTGCATACCTGCATTCTATAAATAGAGTATTACATTTTAGGAGGTGTAAACAAGTATGTCAGCGAAGATTGATGTCGATGATACATTGTCGATGGTAATGAATGACAATAAATGGCAATGATTCAGATCTGTCTGACTTGAGCTCGGAAGATAAAGATGATGATGAAATGTATCACCCAGATCTATAATTGAATGTCGTTAGTTGAGTAAGAAAGCTGTGATGAACAGAGAAGTGATGACAGCGAAAACGGCAGTAATGATGGCGACGAGGGCACAACTAAGATGAGAGACATGTATCCTGTTGGAGAAAAAAGACATTGCCTTTCAAAATGTAGATTTTGATATGTAGAAAAAGATGAAGGAGTTGAAGAGTGGACCCCGTTGAGGTATTTTAAATATTTTTGGAGTGATAATCTTACGGCTTTAGTTACTGAACAATCAAATAACTAGAGTGTGCAGAAAAGTGGGTCAAGTGTGAATACTTATCCTAATGAAATAGAGCAGTTTATAGGAATGCACATGAAAATGGAAGTTGTTTGCTCCACTATCAGATATATCATATTGGTCCAACGTGTTATGCTATACCCCTTGATTGCAGACAGAATGCCAAGGAAACGATTTGAGAAACTAAAACGTTATCTCCATTTTGTTGAGAACATGCATGTATCACATTGTGGTAAAAACTCACAGATGGTGCATCAAAACCTCCTGGCATTGCAATGATTGCATTGACAGATGCAAGGTCAATGCATGGGTTCTAGACCACCATCACTGCCACCAACAATGCATCCCGAAGACCAGAAGTCGCAACTGAAGTTTGCGCTTGCAGGGCTGGTAGAGTTGCTAATTGCAATGAACAAAGCTGTACCATCAACCGACAATGTTGGCAAGCCTGGCAGGCCACTAAACAGAAAGAATGTGGAGATATGACTCCATGTTGGGACGAAAGCCTGTCACACCAAGTCCTATTAACGCAGTTAGAACAGACCAATTTGGTCACTGGCCAGTGTATAAGGACTAAAGACGATGCAGAAAGTGAAAATCTGGTTTTTCCATAGTGAATTGCAGTAAGTGTAATGTTTGCCTATGCTTTACAGGCCAAAGAACTGCTTTATTGAATACCACACTGCACTATAAACGCTGACAATTCACAGTGAAATATCCGATATAGAGCGTTATTTGATTATTTATTACTATAGAATTAATGGAATTAATTTTTAGGGCATTGTATATATTGTATTTTATTTTATATTGAAAACAAGGATATTGGTAAAATATATAAAAACATTTTAATTGTTCAAAATATTGTCTATTCTCTATCCGGTTCTTGGCAATGTTGCCATATGGTAACAAATTGCTGCACCCCCGGATTACAATGAAATTCTTCTTTTTTAAAGAAACTTGTTTTTTGACCTAAATAGAGTCAAATTATGTGAAAAAATCTTTTTTATCACAATTTTTCAGTATTTGCAAATTAAAGGCTAACAGAGTCCGACATTTTTTGGATCGAAAAACCCTATCTTCCATCATTCACTTCCTAGTTCTAAGCAAATTATTCTACTGCTTATGTTGTTTGGTCTATATTACTGCTAGAAAACCTGAAAAACTAACAACTGGTTCAAATTAAAACTTTGCAGCCAGGATTATAACAGGTGCCAGAAAAAATGACCACATTACAACAGTAGATACTCTCCAAATCAATATAATGCCTAAAGGGTTTATTTTCGGCCAGGGCCGTGCCCAGTGGTTTTAGGTTGGGGTGGGGGAGGTGTGAAATAAAAAAATTGGGCCCCCTCCCATTTGGGGGCCCCCTCAAAAAAAATTTTCCAGAAACCAAAAATTAGGTTTACATAATGGGGGCTTAAATTTAGTTTTGAAGACCTTTTTAGACCAATTTTCCAGAAAATTCCTTAATATTTAACACGTTCCGCTTTCAAGGGCCCCCCTCTCCGCAATTTGGACCCCTTTTTTACCTTTCTTTGGGGGGGGGGGGGTGATACACCCCACCCCTCCTACACCCACCCCCCAGGTGGCACGGCCCTGTTTTCGGCGTGTTTAAGCGAACATTTCCAACAACGAGCAAGTATTCATCAGTATCCCACTAGACAGACCAATGAACTCATTATTTCAAAATTAAAACAAACATGATCAGAAAACATTCCACTGCCGAGCCGTGAAACTTTGAAACAATTTGTATGATAAAATTAAGTCAATAGAAAACATTCGCGAGTTTTTAAATCTTTTTCTATTTTGAATCGGAACAACAAAGGTTATTGTATCTGCGAAGCAGATATATATGCTATCGCAAACGTGCCGTACCGTACCGTACCGTATGTTAGCACGTAGCCATTCAGCGACAGGCTTATATAATTTAAGAAATTTAAGCCAATCAGCGATCAGTTTAAATCAATTGTTTACATTGTGCCCGCATCTAACCTGCGAACGGGCGGCATTTGGCCTCGTGTTATTCTTTGCCATTTTCACATTTGGGCTTCGAAAATATCTTGATTTTGTCTTGTTTGCGCTATTTTCCGAAGTTATCTATCGACATGGAAACTTATCCTCATCTGGTAAGTAGTCAAATACGACATATTTATTATCTTATTATGTATTTATACAGTAAAACAATCATTTTGTTGTGTAATATTTTAAACAGTCAAAACATAGCAGGCAATATATTTGTCAATGACAATGAACAATGTCACAAGAAACTAATGTTTTCAGGAGATATTGAATTAAATCTTGGTCCTGCGTTTCTGTAGTAAACTCTGTTCGATGTTATCAGTTAAAATACTTATACATTTTGGTTTAACAGTGATTAGAGTCTTTAAACAAAATGTTTACAAACATTTTCAAATGCTAATAAAAGAATCCCCACTCTTCCTCCTCATTATATTGTTATTTTGCTTTCTAACATAAATGTTTTTGTTTAGAAATTAATGCAAGAATGATGAATATAAAATGTACTGGATATTGGCTAGATAATCTTGTCAGAACAACCCACTTGCAAGACAATATTACCTAAATTCATTGGTATGGATAACTTAACAGCTACAATAATCATATATTATATGGATGGATCAGATCAATGGCACACAATATGTACAAAACTAAACTTGTGATACCTTCTATTCAAACCGATATTCTCCCACAACACAAATTGTTTTTTTCTGGATATGCTGTGTTAAACCGAACAGTGTGGTATATCATTAACTGTGCACAGGATTGGAATTGAATTATATACTTCACTAATGACCTTCAAAACATTCTCTAGACCTTCAAAACATTCTCAGTGGTCTTTGATATATGATTGACTCTTCACTACAGTGATGCATGTTCAAGTGTAAACAACAAGTGACAGAACTGCTTCATATGATTACAATAAAGTTTTGAACATGGGTATGGATTGACAAGTGACAGTTTTCTAAATAGACACTTCGAATATTGTTTGCATGAAATTTTTATTTTTTGACTGCATAATTATCCGAGTTACAATGGGTCGTTCCAGAAAAGAACTGTACTCCCCCCACGGAGGAAATTTCTGCCGTCCGGAGGGGGAGGGGAGAAAAAATTGTTTCTCATAATAGTAAATGTATTAAGGCATGCAAAGGGAGTAGGGGGGTTAACTTCCTATTTCCTCTGTGGGGGTGGTATGAATGTTTTCTGGAATGACCCAATTGTCATCACAAAAAATTAGTTAAATTTTCTCGGGGGGGGGTGAGTTGCCCCTGCTGCTTTCCGTGCTGTCACAGAATAAGAAGGTACAGCAGAAGTGTAACTTGAGTCGGTTCCCTTATTGTTTTACGTCCACAAAAATTTTAACTCACTCACACCATCCTGGCTAGTACAAGGTTTTGGTAGGTGCAAAGTGCCAGTTGTACTAGCCAGGATGACGTGATTGATGACGAATCACTTGTAAAAACGCGGACAAATACTTGCTTGCATTATACTTCTGCTGTACCTTCTTATTCTGTAGTGCTGTCTACAGCCTTGTTAAATTTGTACTATGTTTGACTTTAAAATCTTATTTGCTATTATATTTATTATAATAAGTGATGAAAATGTGAATCAAGTTTTTTCGCAGATACATGTACGCGTCGCGTACCTATTTTATAATAAGTATGAAAACGAAGATTTGTCGAAAAAAGTTTCAGATTATCATTACACATACAGAGATGAGATAAGGCGGATTTTATTGGAAACGTTTATTATCCGTTATTCGGAGAATTATTGCAACAATTTATCATTAGAAGTTTTCTGCGCATATATGTTCTTCGTTTTAAAGCTAAACGCCAGGATGTTTAAGTAGATCACTTAGTCAATCTCGTGCAAAAATAATGAGCGAGACTTTTTATATTTCGTTTTATTTCCGTGGTTACTTCTCCCGGCCCCCCCCCGTCTATACAATGTTGACAAAAAATTTCACCTGACAATATTCCTTTGTATCGTTGGCCAAACATTGTTTGTGGGGGAGGAGGGGGGGGGGGGCAATGACTTTGTTGTCTTAATAATTTTTGCACTAGATTTAATCTCGTGCAAAAATAATGAGACTTTTGATATTTCGTTCTATTTCTGTGATTACTTCCCCCCCCCCCCCCCCCCCCCTCCCATATGCAATGTTGAAAAAGAAATTTGATCTGACAACATACATTTGTATCGTTTGTCCAACATTGTTTATGGGGAGGGGGGGCAATGATTTAGTTTTCTCAATATATAATACCTCTTCAAAACTGAGTTCCTCACAGTCAAGTCCATCGAATCTATGCAAAGCCACAAAGATTGGTCCCTAGAAATATACGGAAGGTTAATAAAAATTCAAACTCAAATTATCTGACGTTCTTCTTCAACACTGTTTAACTTGCACACATAAAGATAAAAATTGCCTCGGAGAGTAAACTAACCTTGCAGAAAGCAACTTGCATTTAAAAAAACGGAAAACAAATTAATATTTCTCCTTACTCCTATTTCGTGATGAAGTTCTTTAAAATCATTACTTCTTTCATTTTTCACCTGATTGCCATGGCGGGCGGTCGCACTAATGTGAGCTCTGTAAATTGTTATAAAAATAATCTAAATAAGTGGAAGTTTGAGCAAATAATATACAATATCATAAAAATTTCTCAAACCTAACTTACGATTGAAAGCGTATAAAGTGGTCTGGAAGCTTTGATATGCTGCAAAGTTTCGTTGAATGTGGTATTATATTACAAGGCTATTGGTCGCCGCCAGGTGGTTTACGGCGAAATCGAATGCCGTTGAGGACGGCCAATTATTGGATAATATTTGCATGTTAACAATAAGTAGTGTGATACATCAAACGAATAACAACAATACTAACGCGGTAACTGAAGTTAACTCGGTTGTTGATATGACTACAAAAATACCTAATCAGTCCTCCAAAGTGATGTATATTCAGAAAAGCTTAAGGTCAGATCAAATTTATTCCCTTGTAATGTAGTGCATGATTTTGTGCACATGAGTTGTCAGTGCAAGCTCCTGGCAGCAGACCTTGAAAACGTTAAGCTTCAGGCATTAAAATAGTGTGTTTTTGACACACATTGTGTCATATTGAAAAAGTAAAATGTGTCCTTGTAAATTGAAAAGTGTGTACTTGGGACAGTGTACTTGGTCCTGGGAATAAAGCCCGGAAAATCCATTTCCCACAGAAATTTTGTTTAATGTAATCAGGTGCACGTGTTTATCGCCTGATGATAGCCAGATATATATTTCTGGTTTATATATTTCTGTTTTTTCTGTTTATAACTGCATGTCAAGAAACGCCTGTAAAATTACCAAGAGCTTCCAAAATTTTCCTGTAGGCAGTGCTTTCATGCAGTATAATTGCAATATCCGCAGAAATCATGTTACAAAAATCAGGATTCGCTTTAAAGGATTTTCATTAGATAATTGAAAATTTAGTTATGAATTAAGAACCATTTAGACTGAATGATTTATGTACTTGTTAGATAGCCTCAACCGTTTGTCTAAACGGTCGAAAAGTGCGCTTCTGACCCCAAATTTTAAAATATTTACTGATACCGGACAGAAATATATGCATTTATAATTTAGTCACACTTGCATAAGTTGTTGTTCAAGGTAGGGTGAAAATGAAAAGTTATTGACCTGTTTGAAAGTTATTGACCTATTTCAAATTTTCCCTTAAAAAGGGACCGAACTTTGATGATTATTCAATAAGCCTTTTCTTAGTCTTGGCGTGGCGGTAAAGTGTCTTCTTGTAAAAAATCCTTATTTTAATGCCTGTTAATTAAGCTTGATATGATGATCATTCAAAGAAATGTGGAATCTAAGTTTTTTGCAATCGAAAAGTCGCGGGGGAGCGAAGAAATTAACCAACTTCAAAAGGAACTATCTAATAAAAGGGGAAAAATGTAAAAACCTTGAAGCTGATATATCAATTTTAACCCGAGGAAAAAACAGAGAAGCAAACGATTTGAATAACACCATAGTGTCTCTCTTGAAAATAGACTTGCTATAAGTCAAGTGGGCGATAAAGAAATCTTTGAGACAATCGATTATGCATGCAAATCAATTTTGGAACAGCTACTAAATCAAAATAAAAAGAACTTCCCTCTAAACAACTGCAAGACAATTACAGCACGCACCATACCTCTAAGCCTAAGGTGGATGATCTAAATAATACACCTGCCATACAGAATACGCCAGCTATTCGGATAGAAATTACTGAGGAAGAGACAGATAATGTAGTACTAATTCATTATAGTATGGGCAAATCGAAAGATGAAGCTACAAATTCTAGCTGTTGGAAGCTTAAATGCAAGCTTACTTACTAATCCTGTCCCTAGTTCGCACTGTAATCCAGATGCAAATTTTGAGGTCTCTGATGCAAATTTTTTGGAGGAAGCAGCAACCCGCGACGATCAATGCAATATTAGATTGAGTATAGGTTATTTTGAGGCAACGAGGGGATATGTGATTTATTCGCAGAGGCGCGCAGCGCCGAGGTGAATAAACACATATCCCCGAGGTAACACATATCCGCGGGTTGTTGCTTCCTCCAAAAAAATTGCATCAGAGACCTCAAAATTTGTTTATTATTTTTCACATTGCGAGGTCGCGTTAATGAGTCAGAATAGAAATAATTCTTAATGCCTTCGTTATGTTGGTTTTTTTTCTGATTTTTTTGTGCTGCAAAGACATTGTAGGTGAATTTTAGAGGGGATTATTAAACCGGCGGAAATTGATTAGAGGGGAATATTGTATATATTCCCCGATAAAAACAAAGGAAACGGAACAGGGTGGAAAATAAGCAAAAACAATGATTTTACTTGCATGAGATAAAATATTTAAAGGGACACTCCACCCCCAGAACAAGTGTCGCTCATAAGAAAGTTTATATGAGCTAATGAGCCTACCTTTGAATGAATATTTCATTCGCCTCAATTTTTTTTCGTTTGCGAGAAATTTAACTTTGTTTCACTGATTTTTCGTCCATTATCGCCGCCATGTTTGTTGAATCCGCGGGTGGTCCTATGAGTGCTGTGACGTAAGTGTGTGATAGAAACACTCAGTCTTTGATCTAAACACTATAAATTGACAGCTTCGTAGTTCATTTCGGTGTGATTTTGGGTAAATAAATTCTGTTATTGATCGTTTATTCTCTTACTGATCATTTTAAATTATGACCCGATCGAATACTAGCAGCTCTTCTGAAGTAGACGAAGATATATCACCGAATAATGTAAAATTTGAAACGGACGAGGGAAATTTTTCGCTTCAGCCGTATTTATTCGAACCTACGATTAAGAAAACCTCCAGTTACAGCATACAGAGTCTGTCTCTGACTGTTCCAATATGATGTCGGAAGGAGTTAGGAGTTTTTAGAACATGAACTCGTATAAAATACACAATGAAATATTATAAATATATGCAGCAAATAAAAATATACACAACATAAATGTTATTGAAGTGTTTATGCTTTATTTGTGTCTAATAACGTACAAATGTTCGGAAAGTTAATTCTGCCACAATATATGAAAACTACAAAATATAAATTACATAATGTAATGTAATTAATTACATAATGTAATTAAATAATGTAATAAGTTTTTTACTACAAATACGTGCAAGCGTTCATGGGCTCATGGCTTGCTTAATACCTCTTGTCTGGCTTCGCCCTGTGCTTCTAGCTTTTTCTGGCTTACTGCGCGGAAATATAGATGGCACCGCGTCTGATTTTAGCTTTGGCCTTTTTTGGTAGCCAGGCACAAGATCGAGCGTTCTTTCGAAGCAGTCTGGTGTAAAATGCGCCGAACAAACACATGAATTATTTATATCGCGTGGGTTTACTAGTTAACATGCACCGAAGCACGTAAACGAACGTAAACCCTCATTACTGAACGAAACAATCGTCAAAACTACAGTTCCCTATTGGCTGATAGCACTCAATCCGTTCTCAACCGTATAATAGCAAGTTCTTATTGGATAAACGTTTGGCAAATTTATTCGCACGAAAGTTGGCAGTGTGTTGGTGATTTACATATGATTGCTTACGTACTGAACGTAAACGCGAAATTTGCATGCATGAGATGTTATAACTCGAGACGTCTTGCTCATTCCTTGATTAAACTCAGAATATCCGCAGAATGTTAACTGATATAACTTTGGAAGAATGGAAGTCGCCTTGGCCGCTGTTTGTACACGAAAACTTACTTCATTTTCAATGGAATTTGATGACTCGACAGTCTCGTGCCATATCATAATTATGCTGTACTGTATATGAATTTGCATGAAAGTAAACACAAATCCCAAAGGGCAAAATTGCTCCAGATGTCTATACTATTGACATTGTCATTGCGCTACTCAATACAGTATGTTTCGTAAATTTTTCGATTCCCAAAGCCAAAGGCAAACATATTTGTGAAGAGTTTAAATTCGTTCATGAACAATCATGACATTACGAGATTTATAGCGAGGACATGTACATATCAACGATATTTCAGCATTGAAGCATGCATATAAACACGGCGCGCGAGCCAGAGTAAAACGATTTTAATTTAAAATCGATAAAAGACAATGGATCGCTAGAAAATTTTTATGGCCAGTCTGTTTTTGGGATTTGACCTTGGAGGCTGAACGACTAATTAATGTATTCTCTTGTGACTCTTAGTGTCTGGAGAAGTGTTAAGATTCAAATGCAAACGTTTTCTGTGCAAATAGTTGGACATATATGTCTGCACGAGAATGTGAACTTTGTATATGCAAACATATTTTCGCACGATGCGATAGTACGTTAGGAAATCTCAAGACTCTATAGTGATCTACACGACTACACATGCATGTCGACGTAGCTTCAAATCGAAATTGTGATTAACTCACAACATGATAAAGTCTTATTCGCACATTTTACAAACAATATGCATATCTATGCCTATGGTCTCATTTACACATATTACATGTGGAGCCAATCAGAATTCAATTTCTTACGTTTGCAAATTAACATAACTGAATATACGTTCGTTTACGTGCTTCGGTGAATGTTAACTACTCAGACTGCGAATTCTCGCCAACCACGCTTCTCGCAAACCTTTTTCTTTTGGAATTCTGTGGTAGCTGATTCCCACAGTTTTCCATGAGTTGTTAGTACACTCAGGAACCATGCAATGAGGCATCTTCGGTTAAAAAATATTTAAAAGGAAACTATAAAGACTAAAGCTTGATTATACAATTTGTTTCGAAGCAAATCTGATTATACAATTTGTTTCTATCACACATTTACGTCACGGCACTCATAGGATATGTTGTTTATATGTTATACTGGATTAAACTATGAAACAAGATCAAAAACAATCCTCCAGAGTCTAGGTTGGCATCCAATAGATAACATTCTTAAAAAAAGAGAATTTCTAGTTACGTTTAAGGCTATCCGAGGTATGGCGCCGGAGTGCATCTGTAATATGTTCTCCTACTGTGATAATAGAAGTCACCACATGCGGAGCAACGGGCGGAAACTAACTCTCGATAAACCTAATAGATCATTTATGAAAAAGTCATTTTCATATCGATGAAAAAGTCATTTTCATATCGAGGAGCTTCCGCCTGGAACTCATTACCTAACGAAATCTTAGACGTTCACGAACAGTTGACGATACATTCTTTTAAAACTAAGCTCAACAATCACCTACGTTGAAAAAAATATCCAATTGTAAAGACTCCTAGTCAACTACAGTATTTTGTAAATACTTTTACTATTTTGTAAATATTTATTTTGTACTTTCTTTTATGTAAACAACCCCTTTAAAAGCAGCGTAGGCTGAAGGGTTATTGTTTGTAAATAAGTTTTAATAATAATAATAATAATAATGTTCATTCCACTTCATGTTATCTTGAACTGTGAGGCCAAGTATACGGGCAGATTTCACTCGTTCAATATTAACTTCATCGACTGTTAAAGGGGGAAAGCAATGCTTCTTTTTTGCAAAAGCAATAACACCAGTTCTTTGCATTTTCCAACGTTTAGTTTCATATTATTACTCGTAGTCCAATTATCGATGTAATTAACCAATTCTTCAAGGTTGGTGTTACAATCTGGGCCAATGGTTTCAGTAGTGGTGGTGTCGTCAACGTATTTCCATCGGTCTTTCCAATCGACGAGGAGAGCATTTATCATGTTTAGGAAGAGGATTGGGCCTAAAACAGTTCACTGGGGTACTCCACCGTTGAGGATATGCCATTCTGACACGCAATATGGGGCATTCTGATCCGTTGGGTTCGTCGAGTAAGAAAACTTCTTATCCAGTTTGTTATTAATGATGGAACGTCCATATCAGATAATTTACTGAGGAGGATGTTATGAGCAATATGATCAAAAGCTTTGGAAAAGTCCAATAAAGAAATTCTCAGAGCGTTTTTCGGCACATCAGTTTCGCTTAATAAGTGGTGGAAAAGCTCAATAATGCATGTGTTGTTGAGGAGCTTTTTAGAGATCCAAATTGCCGTTTATCGATCTTCTCACCAATGAACTCCATCAGCCAGTCTGCGACAAAACGTTCACACGTTTTTGACAAAGTGTCAGTAAACGAGATGGGACGCAAGTCTTTAGTAATGTCACTCGGCACCTTATTTCCGCTTTTTTCCATACCGCGGGAACAGACGCCTGTTGAAGGGAGGCGTTGAAGATTGAAGTAACAGGGGGAGCCAGCAGGGGCGCATAATCTTTTAGAATCCAATTCGGTATTTCATCAGGGCCAGCCGCTTTCGAAGATGATATTGAAGATAATTTATAATATATGTCTTCTTCCCTAACAATGTACTCGGTTGGAATAGTAGTATAATCCCTTTGTAATTGGGTATCGGGGAAAGGGATGGAATATCTCGAGTAACGGATACGAAAGCAATATGTGATTCAATCTAAGTTATATATCGTGTTCACTGCATGGGCTATCTTTTTTTATAGATTTTTCACATTTGTAAATATTCTAACGGCCCCTTGATTAAACAGTTTAAACTGAAGGGCTAGCGTTTTTATATAAGATGAATAATAATAAAAATAATAACAATACGTCTTCGAGAATACAAAGACAGCTTTCCTATTGTATTGCTTCGCAACCTTCTGAATACATTTTAAATCGCAAAAATCTTGTTGACTCTGATTTTTAAAATCTGCCTTCGGGTTCCGCCGTGAATTGCGATCAAGCCTCACTTCGTCCACACAACCGCGGTGTAACCGCGGGCGATCCGAGGTTCAACCGCGGGCGAACCGCGTTGACCCGAGGTCGAACCGAAGTGGGCCCGAGATCGAACCTAGGATGATCCGCGGTTCAACAGCGATCGACCCGCGGTTAACTTATTTCTAGGCAGTAATGAATGCTCTTGCATTTGCTGACGATACACAGCTTTATGTCTCGTTCAATCCAGATATGATCTGTGATCAACTTGCTGCAGTTGCTGCCTTAGAACGGTGCATATATTGATGATATAAAGAATTGGATGCTCTCCGATAAACTAAAGGTTAATGATGGTAAAACAGAATTTTTAATTATTGGAACTCAACGGCAACAAGCGAAAGTGAACCTTATATTAGTTTTCTGAGGATCGGTGATAACCCAGCTGACATTAACAACTTGGGATTCTGGTTGGACTCTCAGATGAAACTTGAAACCAATATAAGCAATTTTTCAAGTGCAGCTTTCTTTTATAAATTGCGCACTATAAATGTAAAAATTATTACAATTATTATCAACTTGAACTGGTACAAAGATTGTGACATCATATGTGGTAAGGCAAATAGTACTCTATGCTTAATTAGAAGAATCCTTGGTGAAGGCAGCGCTGCTGCAGTAAAGTCAATTAAGAGCGTACCATATATTAGTCTTGTCCGTAATATAGTATGTCTATACCATCCTGAACACTTACACCAAGAAGAACATCAACAAAGATCGAGATGGTTTAACGCAGAGCTGCAAGGTTTGTCTTCCATGACTATTCCAGAGCTACAATCCTGGACAAAACATCTGCGACACTTCCATATACTTGACAAAATGTCGTAATATTATCGTAAATTAAGAAAACCTCCCCCTTTCCCCACCATTCAATGTTGATTGCATTCGTAGAATACGGATAAAGCGTGCAACATTGTTCTGGGGGAGGTGGGGGGCAAACGAGTAAATTATTCCGGTCTAACTGGTAAAAAAATCCACAAAGGAATGTTTTAATAGAGTGTCGCAGATGGTTTTGTCCAGGATTGTAGTTTTACGTCTCTCCAATGATCGACCACATGAGTTGGGACAATCTCCAACAACGGCGATGCAAATGTTTTTTTCCGTTGACAGTCGGACTCCTCATTGATAGTCGGACGCATCATTTAGTGGATAATTGTTTTAACGGGGCATACACTTAGATTAGCATAATAGCATTAATAGACGACAAAATGTCAAGCCATAGATAGCTCTGTATTTTAGTGGATACGCGGATACGTAGTCAAGTAATTATTTTGAGTATTAAATTAAAGGTATACAGTTAGTTAGCATTAAGAGATCAAATTATTTTTGACATGGGATTCGAGGTTTCCATTGCAATTTTCTATGATCGCTGAAAGCTTATCATATCACGCGCGTAGAGTTCCTGTTTGCGCATTTATTTGCATGGTTTAACTGTGTAACGGTGTAATGTTCTTCACAACCGAGCATTGGTGTTTGTCAGATTATGATTAATTAGCGTCGCTGCATGAAAAAATATTTTTATATTATAAAGCATACTAAGCATAGTATTTTTGTGTATATTTGAACGAGGCAATAAGAACTGGTATCAGGGGCGTAGGAACCTTCCAAAAGTTGGGGGGGGGGCAGGCTTTGAGGCGCACTTTTCGAAAAAAAAGGGCATCTCCAAATTTGTTGTTGGCGACCTCCTCCTCCCCCCCGTCGCCAAAAAAAATTCGGTCAGTGTACCATTTTAGGGGTCCAAAAAAAATTTTCCGGACATATTCCAAAAATATTTTCAGGATAAACAAAATTTTTTTCGTAAATACCAAAACATTTTTCCGGAATACAAACAAAATTTTCCGGATATATGATTTTTTTCCGCAATTTTTAACATTTTTCAGGAAATAACGTACATTGAAGTTTTCAAAAGTGCACCTTGGACTAAAAATACAATTTTAATGAAAAATTTTCACGCACAAAAAGGGCACTTTGCTTCCGGAAAAAGGGTACTTGCAAAAACTTGGGGGGGGGGGCGGGCATGGCCCCCCTGGTCCCCCCCCCCGGTTCCTACGCCCCTGACTGGTATATACGTATCCAGTGAAATAGTGGCCGGGCTACATGATATGATATTACTAGTGGACGTGTATGCTTCCTATTTGTTGAAAATGGTATTCATGGTCGCTTGCACGCTAGTTATCTTAATACTGATTCTCTTAAATTGAGATGATACATAGTTTTAACTCGAAACAACAGTTCTTTAGTATTTTCGGAACCAAAAACTGGCAATTTTGTGGATTTGCTACGGCATCTCGAAGCAAATCGTCCATCTTTCTACAAGTAGTCGAGAAGGACAACGTGGAGTGGTGGATATATGGTGTACCGGTTAATACGAAGGGATCGATCGGACCTGGACGCCGATCAATGATGCGTTCGACTATCAATGAGGAGTCCAACTGGCTACGGAAAAAAATTGCAACGGCAACTGCTACACCAAGCAACTATGTTCTACGAGATCCATCAAGGACTAGTTGGAATCAGTCTTCCTGATGACGCGTGTCCTTTGACTAGAGCATCCAGGCTGCCTAATATTTGTCAGTCGTGTGTCAATGTATATAAGTTTTCAATTTATTCAAGAACAATCGTTACCTGGAATCACATCCCAATTAACAATCTTCCCAATCCAATCAACCCCAAGTTTCAAAACACTTGCCATGCCTTCAATTATGTCACTTAATGTAGTTAATTAGTACCGTTTTGAATAGTTTGTATTGTATATTCGTTTTGTAGTCTTAGAGTTGTTGTTGTCGTTGTTATTATTGTCGTTTGCCCGGCATTGTTGTTCTTAATAGCATATAACAACATCATTCTAATTTCCGCCTCAAATATATGTGTAAATAATGTCCGCCTAATATATCTTGTAAATAATTATAAATATTATCTAGTTTATCGGCATATATCTCTTCCTAGTGTAGTATAATACTGTTTTAGAAGCATTTCATTAAGTCATTAAATCATTCAAGCATAAAGTTATTTGAGGCTAGCGTCTTTTGTTTAATAGCACCATCGCAATCTCTCTCACTTGCTTTTACAGTTCCACTTTTTGGCTTTTTGGCTTGCGTAACTGAGGCAATTTACAGTTGCCATTGTCATTTCTTACACTGTTGGAAAACACGGAGTTATTACATTCAGGAGACGATTTTCATAATATATAGTTGAAGGGTTCATATATAATAGTTCGGTTGGAAATTATCGTATGGAAATTTATGTACTGTACTGTAATTTATGTTTAGTATCCGTAGATGAACGTTGTGGGAGTTTTACCAAACTATCCGTTGGCTACTACTGACAACTTGTTTGTCTCCAAATGTAATAATTCAATCGCACCTTCACAATTATACTCTACGTCAACGACTAACCCAGCTCGATCGTGGCTGCTGCGGACTTTTCCAACAAACACTTTAAGTTGTTGAATTTATCCACGTCGGATATTAACCCGGGATTTTCATGTATATCGCGCTCTTAAAATTGTCTCAAAATGCTTGCTATTCGAATGGCTGTCCATCAAATTGTTTAGTTGTATATATGACTTGGCAACTTTGCATGTTTTATTGCAGTTTGATAATGTCTTGGTATAGGTACTTGCTGTGGCTCGCTTATTCTCATAGGCATAGTTTCATAGCACATTCTCATAGGCATCGACTTGGGCTCGAGCACGCTGTCGATATTTACAATCATTTCGTGAACACTCTCGCGATATTTTCCCGCTTCTTCGATCTCGGTAAATATTTCCTCGTCAGCTTCGATAAGATCTAGAATCTCTTCGTCAAGGGTTTTAAAGTGTCCAATCGTTCTTTTAGGGTCATCCGGATTTGCTTAGTTTCTCTCTTGATTTCCATTGAACTTTTGAACAGTGTGATCTGCATTGTTCAGAATCTTCGTAAGATAAGCTCCATGATCTTCTCATATCTTTATTTTGATTCTTGATATTACTTATTTCATCCTCAATTTAATTCGGCTCCAAGGACAATGTAGAATATTATAGACTGCTCAATTAGTTTTCGATTATTTTTATTTTAATCAGTATTAAGATTTTTCATAATATCAATTTGAATCTACAGTGGTCTCAAGTTCATTAGTTCAATTCTTCAACAAAAACCCCAAAAGTAACACCCTCTTTTTCATAATGATGTATATATTTATAGTAAAGTAACACCCTCGTTATAGTGACTTTTTTTATGACGTATAGTCCTATATTATAACTGTCTATTAAGTGTTACTTATTAAATAAACAATATCTCACACAGCCCAAGAATGATTTTATTCCTTAACTAACGTAGTGTATCATTCACGGGTAAATTATCCATTAATTGTCTGGTAACTGCAATTGACTTGCAGAAACGGTTAACTGTCTTTTCAATAGAAGCATTGGGCCCAATCTTCCTAATGAGTCCCCTTATTAACACTCGGTTATCATGCTCCAAAGCTGGAAATGTTACCCCCTAGGCAAAATTTGGCTGGAACAAAGCGGCTCCAAATTATTTAATGTGCGCATATTTTGGGGAAAGTAAGGAATACCACCTTCTCATTTCCAAAAAAGGATCAGAGAAATTTAAGACATTATTCCACATTCAAGGAGAGCATGCATGGTGATATTTATCATTTATAGACCTGGAGCGAGGGGGATTCGGCGAAATATTACCTGAAGTGATGATATTTCCCGAGGGGCTTTGCCCCGAGGGAAATATCAACACTGAGGGTAATATTTCGCCGAATCCCCCGAGCGGAGGGTCTATAAATGATATATTATACCGAAAATTAAAAGCCTCCAAGTTGAGAATTAAAAACTTGACACATACCTTCGTGAATACGATGTTTTATTTTCGGATTAACGCAAGTATCGTCGATTTTCTTTCGAATCACATATCGTTTGGAATATTAATGACAACATTTTTCAAAATTTGCTTCAAAATTGCGAAAAAGCCCCAGGTTTTACATCATTTAACCAGATTATTCATCATTCATCAATACTATTTATATTTTGTCGGCCATGTTGTTGCCATGCGTGTTGTGTCGCGTGGTCTACGCGAATAATGTTCCACCCCATGTTCCCCGGGGAACATGGGGTGGAACATTGTCAAAAGGAACGCAGGCTCGCTAATTGATGACGTAAGGCGTGATATCGCAATTAATTTCATGCTCACGTGGCACAAACTAAGCTTCCTGATTGGACAATTTGAATTTGAGGTATAATATTTTAACATGTTATCTTGATGTGTTGTTATAATTGATGTATCATGCATGCAAGCGTTGTGTTAGTGGATTTTTGATACAAGATTGCTTAACTGATTACAAAATGAATCCTAGCTGCTGGATAATATGCAACGGAGTGTAATATCTTGGAAAACACCGCTCTTGCGTTTTATAATTATGACGTCTTAGGACACCCTGGGAACGTTTTACCCGCACAAAGTCTCGGCGACCCTAATTCGGACAACGCATATATGTACTGTACATATCTACAAAAGCAAAAATGTTAAAGCTAAAAACTTACACTTCGGTTGCCAAGACACTTTTTTGAAGCAAAAAATTTCCTGGAACATAACCTGTCCTCCTATGAATGTACAAGGTATATAATTTCAAACTTCGTTTTGAAGGCTCAGCGTTTGCGCTTTGAGATAATTGTTCAATATAAGTATTACAACATGATCGTTCTAAAACCATCACATCATGTTGATGTGACTGGATGACCAGGGTCCTCCAGATTACAAAGCTCGCCACAAACCTACATGAATATCTTTCATGATTGGTCGACTAAAACAATGAAATACAATAAAACTAAAGAATACATTTTCTAAAGAACCAGTCACAAACACTGATAACTTTGTTTAAGCAAGCGAATAGACCATTTCGATAATTACGTCACGTCTTTTATCTTGGCCTGGGAGCCTCATTCTCATGTTTCATGGTGAACAGTGACTGCCTCACAATTCATGAGAGCGAGGCTTCCACGCCAAAACGAGATATGTGACGTAATTATCGAAAGGGTACAGTATATCACAAAACATGTTCATTTTTCCTTTGTGTTTACGCTGTGCAGATACTGAGCTGTTTTTACGCACGTACATTCACGTAAAACTTTGAATCCTTCTATTTTTTAAATATTTAACAAATTAGTTAACAAAGGCATACTAAAACTTGCCGAACACTAAATTCTGTTGCTTTGTTTATTTGGTTATTTCATAAGTAACATTAAACGGTTTAAAGTTTTACGTGCGTAAACGTACGCATGAAAAACGCAACAGTGGAAATCAACATTTAAACTTTTGATTTGTCGCTGTGAACAGGTGGTTTAAAACACGTGTACGGTACACTTATTACAAATATTAATATAAATACATTAGTTCCTAAAAACCTCGCAGAACATGAACTTAAATAAAACTTTACAGCTATCTTGCAATTATGATGAAAAGTAATTAATATTCTATTCTTACCCATATTTATCCTTTGCAAGATACCAACCATCCCCTGCATGTTCAAGAATTGTAAATTCGTCTCCCTAGTAAACAAGTATATGAAAAGCAAACCCTGGATAGCGTTAAAAATTATTTGGAAAAAATCCCACTAAACAAAAGTTTAATCCTAAATTTTCAAATTTGGTGAGATTTGAAGCTAGTTGCTCTTATGTAAATAGTTGCTCCTATGTAAATATTTGCTCCTATATAAAGCCGAGTTTCTTAGTAAATTGGCGTTATGGAATGTGTCTCAGTTTTATAATATATTTTTGTTATTAAATTTTAATCTATTTTAACATGCACGGCTTTCAGGAAGAGCGGAATTTTGTAATAAACGCGTTGAATTCCGACACCTAATGGGACTTCAGTTACATATAGAAATACATTATCCTAACAAGTATACGAATAATGCTATTGCCAAAGAGTCGATTATTGGCATAATCTCCGAATGCCTATGTTTCGTTTGCATCGGTGCGCAGTCATTGGCAACAACGCTCACCCGCCTGTTGCCGGCATTCTAATAGTAGAAATTTAATCAGTGTTTCAGACATCAAACTACGAACCCTCTATCCCACTTTTGGAGGCAACTATAACCGGTAAAAAGATAGCATTCCATGTTCTAACGCGCCTCATTCCAAATGGTATTAATGAACGTTTTCCCTACACCTAGCTCTTTCTGTTTTTGCCTGACAAAGCAGACATTGAGAGTACTTTAAACTCTCTCCTCATTCCGTACTTGTTTCATATATCATTTCTATTTGTTATAGTTTCCAGTATATTTCTATTGATACATATTAACCCTGTCCAAGCTGGGCTTTTTTGGTCTTTTGAAACGGAGTGGGAATGGAAAGTGCGCGCGGCTAATATCTCAAAAACTGTGTAAAATATCACAAAGAAACTTTCGAATTTATATAATATGAAGAGATAATTCTAATATACATTGCTAAAACCATTATATTGTTTTGGAATTTTCGATCTACTTCGATATTGAAGCAGAACAACATGAGTTAATGAAATAAGTAAGAAAACGAAGATTTGTCGAAAAAGTTTGTGATTATCATTACATATATATACAGAGACGATCTAAGGCGGATTTTGATTGGAAATGTTTATCATCGGTTATTTGGAGAATTATTGCAACAATTGATCATTTGAGGTTCTGTGGATGTTCTTCACTTTTGAAGCTAAACGCCAAGATTTTCCCCGAGCCGACGGCGCGAAGCGCCGTGCGAGGGTACTAATCCACCGGCTATTCACACTCGGGGAAACGAAAGCATTAGCGAAGTCAAAAGTTCATCAAATATCGCGGGCGTGACCAACGAATTTGAATGGGTGGTCATCCTCACAGATCTCAAATATATGGCTGATTGCTTGTGGGAGTGGGATAAGGAAGATTTCAATGTTAAAAGACATATATTTGGAAAATCGTTTTATATACAACAACCTTGAATCAATTTTGTTTGAAGAAATGAGAAGAATTGATTTAACATTGGAAATCGTGAAATATACGGCAAATTTGCAGTCTGCTTTGAATTTTGTTGCTTTAACATTTTGCCTAAAAACATGAACTGTTTTCCTTTTCAACGAAGCTCTAAGTTTCATAAATTACCGTTTAATTTAAACAAATTGATTTGAAGACTGAACTAAAATTACCTAACAATTTGTTTTGTGTGTAAAACAGTTTATCGGCAAATGTAGTTTAGTTGAATGAACATTTCAAAAATTTCACGAAGCGTTTCAAGAGTTAAATTTTACATTAAATCAAAGCTCACTAAATGGAAAATAATATACCTACAGTGTATATTTCGAAAATTTATTGTTGTATAGTTAATAGTACGAATCTTTCAACTATTTTGCAGTTTTGTACAAAAATATGAAAAAATTAAAAATTTAAGATATCGTGTTGTCATGGCAACACTTGAGCGCGAGCCTGCGTTCAGTATCGCCCATTTCTGAATACTTCATGTTAATTTAATGTTTGGAAAATATTGGCGAGGGGTTACTGCATGCATGTATTTCTAGTTACCTAGGTTAAGGCAACAAGTGATGTCATGATTCCACCAACTTGGATTCCGCCATCTTTGATTGATAGACAGATATAGAGATAGATAGATAGATTTATTAAAATTACTTCGCAGCCACGTGGCTGAATTGCGTAATTATTTACATGACTATTGCTAAAAAACGTTTTGACTATATTATTGATTTCAAAATTTACATAGTTAAAAATGCACTAATTATTATAATCAAGTTAGATTAATATTAAAATTATTAGTTAATGCTTGGTGTATTGTAGTTATCGATTGGGTTGCATTTAGCGAGTACAAAGGTGTTCTTCATTCTATTTGTACGAGTGCGAGGGACGTTGAATGTTCGTTTGTTTCATAAATTGTAATTAGCCTCGTGTTTTGTTGGTAACAGTTTACCTATCTTGTGGCTTCGATCCGAAATAGCTGCTTCAAAGTGTTTTTCACATAGATGTTCATGATGGTCTTGCAATGATTTCACACACAAATTTTTAGTAGCTGTTTGATAATTCTATCCTGGGACGATGATAGAAAGTGCTCTTTTCTCTAAACGCACTATTTCAGATTTTAAGTACTGTGGGAGAGAATAGTAGAACGCAGGAATCGCGTAGTCAATCACAGACCTAATACAAGTTATATAGAACAGCACCAAATCCTCAGGAGGTAATCTTTCTCGGTTAAGCTGGACTAGGAAGTACAGTCTTTTACTAGCTTTCTTTATCACCTTTTCTAGATGGGTATTCCTGGTTAGTTGGTTTGTAATAGTTACTCCTAAAAGTTCGACAGTGTCAACTATTTCTACCTCCTTGCTATCAACCACTACAGGATCAAAATGACGAGCTTCGTTTGAAAATGAGATTCTTAATTCTTTTCACTTCTCCGATTTCGGCTGGATTCTATTTTCGGAAGACTAGGACATAACTTTGTTTGCTATATTCTGAGCTTTACTGGTTGCGTCTTTGGGAACAGTCTTTGATGTCGTCGTGTTGTCTATATATTTCCTGGTTCCGTGATTTCCAAAATCTTGGTCTTTATCATGAGGAAGAGCCATGACCCTAGCTTGGTCCCCTGTGGAACTCCAGAAGGAACTGTGTTCCATTCACAGCAACAATTATCTACCAGTTTAATCCTTTGGATCAATCAGTCACGAAATCAGTTATGACGTATATCCGCCATCTTTGGGTGGCATCTAATTCTCGTTAAGCAATGCAGACAATTAAAACAATGTGAAAAGCAATTTTTCAAAATAAACAAACCATTTACAAAGCAAATTTACCATCATTCGTCCAAAAAATTATAAAAAACTCGCTGTTATGTGGACTTATCTCGCAGACTTCGGCTGAAAAGCCACCCAAAAATGGCGGTGTGAGAAAAGCTAAATTATCACACTATTAGGTAGATCTATATGTTGCGTAGTTTGCCAATAATATGCTATGATAAATAAGATCGATTCGAATGCTTTGTAGTAATCGAATAATATAGTTCTAACTGTTGACGCAGATGTGAATTACCGCTATCGCAGTAGAAGATTTTGGATTGTACCAAATTGATTAGTATCAATTAACCTTTGGTATTGGTGATATGTTAGACATCTTCCAGGCTGCAGGTAGACGTTGTTCAAGACATGAAGTGTTTAGGATATGAGTAGTAGGTAATGCCAATAAGAATAAATATTCTGTTAACGACCAATTGGGTGTTTCGTCAGGTCCTGGTGCTTTATATGGGTAATTGAATCATATCTTTCTCTCTCTGTTAACTAAGTTTCTATAATATATAAATATACTAGAAATGACACCGTTGGTGGTAAACGCCTCTTGTCTTCAGTTTTACAATAAGAGATTTCGATTTTTGGTTCATCCATGGGGCATCCCCTCATTCCCCTGTACAGACTCAAATTTGTCTTTCTGGCGTAAGTAAGTCTAGGCCAGTGTGCACTACAGCATGAAATGTATTCCACATTTCGTCGCTACTATCCAAGGAGGTGAACATCGAAGATCAATCTATACTGCTTAGATATCTGCCCATTTCGTTTTTCCGGTTGGTTCGACGATCACAGCTTGCTATCTGTTTCTTATCATTAGTTTTATTTTCTTTCGCTTTAGGAGGTGCAGCAACCGTATTGTGGTCTGATAAACCAAATGGCGGGTATATGCTTTCGGGCCGAATAGTTTTCGTCATAGATATAGGAGACCTAGATTGCTGACTCGGCTCAACCGGCGTGACATATTTTGAAAATCCAAGATGGCGGCTCAACCGGGCAAAAATCACAGAGCGAGATAGGGAAAAACCATGTTTTTTGCATTTTGCGTCGTCCTAAAGCTTCCGATCGCGTTCTATCACTTTATTTTGGAAAGAACTAACTAGTGTGAAGGTTTTGGATGAAAATTTGTACAATCAGTACAATTTTATACCATGGTTAATACAAATTACGATTCAACCGGGCAAGATTGGGCAGGCCTGCAGTTTCGCGCGGTTTTCGTCTTTAGTTTCTTCCTGTGTATTCCTTCAGTCTTTTACGAGTTTTTCTCAAGTAATATTATATATTTCTAACTATTCCAAAAGCTATTACTGTTTATTTTGTTCTTTCATTGTTATTTCGACCAAAATACAGTATTTTCATCTGAAAATTCTAGGGCTTCTATTCCATCTGGGGTTTTTTTTATCGAAAAGAATGCTTGAAAGTCGGCCAGAATCGTGTTCAGTGTATTACTACAAGACAGACGTGGGATGTTATTCGATTTTCCTTCCATAAGTAAGTCTATGAAACACACACACATCACATATTTGTACACTATAAGTCTATAACTTACATCATATAAACAGAATAATAATAGAATAAAAAGAATTTGTTTTGTAAATACTGTAATGACAACGTCACAACAAATGTAGTTTTGAGTTTGGCAGCTACAATATAAAACTATTTACAGTTTTAATAAAAGAATATTAGACCAAAAAAGAACTTCTTGTTTTGATGTCTGTGTTAGGAGAGTCTCTCCTCAACTTACAACAACTTTCCTTGTCCTGTTCAAAGTCAAAAATGTTTTAGTTTTGTTCACATCAGTGAACCAAAAATACATCTTTCCCTTTGCACTATTCTCTATATATGCATGTTGACAACAACTTTCCTTGTCCTGTTCAAAGTCAAAAATGTTTTAGTTTTGTTCACATCAGTGAACCATTCTTTCCCTTTGCACTATTGGATTTCCTATAACCAATCCCAGCCTGCTAAAAAATGAAATGGGCAGACTCAATGCCAATCAAATATTCATTCTTGTGTGAAATACATCTTTCCCTTTGCACTATTGGATTTCCTATAACCAATCCCAGCCTGCTAAAAAATGAAATGGGCAGACTCAATGCCAATCAAATATTCATTCTTGTGTGAGAAACACTTCACACCGGATGATTATACTTCACACCGATGATTATATTAATCCATGGTGTTGCAAGTCTAACGCCAGACAATTTTACTCATCAAGAGGAGAGCAGTGGCACTTAATGGGTTAACTGGCCTACCTGCAAATGTATATAGTTAACCCATTGAGTCGTTTTGTGCCCTACTTAATTATTTTACTCTGGCTACGCCAGACAATTCTACTCATCAAGAGGAGAGCAGTGGCACTTAATGGGTTAACTGGCCTACCTGCAAATGTGTATAGTTAACCCATTGAGTCGTTTTGTGCCCTACTTAATTATTTTACTCTGGCTACGCCAGACAATTCTACTCGTAAGGGGAGAGTGCTGATGCTTGGGTCAGCTGTCTCAAGGGGAGAGTGTCCGAAGGGAAGAATGCCGACTGCAGAGAGCAATCAATAAAATGCCAATCCAAGAAATATCTAAACGAAGATGCCGTCCCATCTATTTTTGATTATCAATGATGAATCAATCAGGTTTCTTGGAGAGAACTAGATACTAACTGTGAAGGTTTTTGATGCATACCAGACACATTAGGCAGTTTCTTCAAACTAGTTTCCATTGAAAACTTTCGTTGTCACTAGTTCTCTCTACAAACCTGATTGATTCATCACTTTTCACTGTCCAGGCCCTATAGACTTGAGATCCCTTGACATCTGCAGCAGCAAGGAGGTTGTCAAAGTCACACTAAACAGAGCATCAGAATTTTCGCACCAGCAGACCAAATAAATCAAGTAAAATAGGCTTTAACTTCAAAATACTTCACAGAATTATTCCTTGTTAAATATCCCAACCGAGATCCTCGAGAAAAAAAGCACCCAAAGAACCAAAACCTTTATTTTCTGCAACAAAATGTCTCGAACTGCTCAACCGACCATTGTGACGATTTCAGAAAACATTTAGCGATCGATTATTTCGTCTTTATTAAACTTAAATTGCACAAATATTCATCCAAAACCTTCACACCAGTTAGTTCTTTCCAAAATAAAGTGATATAACGGGATCGGAAGCTGTAGGACGACGCAAAATGCAAAAAACATGGTTTTTCCCTATCTCGCTCTATGATTTTTGCCCGGTTGAGCCGCCATTTTGAATGCTCATGAGTGTCACGCGCGTGCATTATAGAAAACATTAGAGTCAGCAATCTAGGTCTCCTATATCTATGGTTTTCGTACATGTTGATTAGAATTAGGTCTAGAGTAGCATTTCTCCGAGTAGGTACAGTACTTTCACTATCTGTTTTAAAAGAAAGTGGTTTAATAGTTCAGTAATGTTTAACCGATTAAAGTCACCAGTTATCAGAAAACCTCAGTTTGGATATCTTGATTCGGCTAAAGTAAGCGATTGGAAGAAATGATCTCGGATGGATCTCTTATCAGGAGGATGATATATCTGCTGCGATAATGCAGGAAAAACGTCGAACTAGGCGATGCGGTCTTAAACGAAGCCATAGCGTTTCATGATCCTCACAACAGTATACAGTCGAACCCCTATAAGCGGACACCTCTCTTAAGCGGACACCTCTTTTAAGCGGACACATATCTCAGGTCCCATTCGTTTTCTTTAATAAAATACTATTACCATAACTCCTATTAAGCGGACACCCCTCTTTAACGGACGCGGACACCTTACTTGAGGTCTCAATGGGCAATTGCAAATCAACCTCTCTTAAGCGGACAGACAACAGATTGTCTGATAAAATGTATTCAATATTCGCCAGTAAATAATAATTGAGATCAATTTACATGGCACATTGACATTGACACACCAACTTGGCGCGAAGACATCAGAGCCAATATTGTTGAGGAAGTGACATACGAGGACTGTGAGCCGCCAGCCAAAGAACCGAAAAATATGTGTGAGATCACTGATGATGACATCGAACTGAACGAAGATGATGACTTTGACCGGTCTCTTAACGAACCAGACATCCAATCTTCCTCAAAAGCCCTTAAAGTTGTCGAGCGGCTGGCAGAATTCGCACAATTTCGAGGTTTGGAAGAACTTTCCAACACCATTTTTAATGTAAACTAGAAAATACATGCATGCAGAAACCCTCGCCTTACTGACAAAACATTATGTTTTCTGAATATGAAGAATTGAAAGTAGTTGTCATGGTAACACGATAATTTAAAGAATATAGTTTTAAAATTGAATAATCCCCCCAAAATATCACTTTTAGTAACAAAATTATTAATTTCGCAAACATATATATGCCAGTTATGTTATTATACGTAACATAAGCTTCAATTTAACGTAAAATTCAACCACAAACGCTTCGCAAAATCTTCTTCCTTTTATCGAATTATCGGTAAACATTGAGTGTGAAATAAACTGATTTCAAATTCTCGCATTAAAAAAACTTTAGTTTCCTCTTTATTTAGATACTTTAATATACAAAAGAAAGGGTAATTAATAAAACTACACTGAAATTATATGCTACAATCCTGGACAAAACCATCTGCGACACTCTATTAAAACATTGCTTTGTGGCTTTTTTACCAGTTAGACCGGAATAATTTACTCGTTTGCCCCATCCACCCCCCAAAACAATGTTGGACGTTTTATCCGTATTCTACGAATGCAATCAACATTGAATGGTGGGGGGAAAGGGGAAGGTTTTCTAAATTTACGATAATATTACGACATTTTGTCAAGTAATTGGAAGTGTCGCAGATGTTTTGTCCAGGATTGTAGCTGTCTTTGTTCACTTTATATATACGCAATGATAGTATCAGTTCGATATTCGCAGTATCGCCCACCACTATCAGTTATAAATATATCAATTATAAAAAAACTTAACAATACATCAATATTTAAAACAAACTTACCTTCATTAACGTCGGCGACTTTGCTCTATTCTTTTAGACGTTTTTAGACGTTTTTTGACTCTCAGAAAGGTTTTGCTGTCGTCAATGCAGTCGTTACAATGCAAATTTCAAATTTGACCAATCAGTGTTCACTATACACGACAGTCCGCTACATATTTTGAGATCAGTGAGGATGACCACCCATGAACGGTGAGCCATGCGCAGACCATATTTGATGAACTTTAGACTTCGCTAGTGCGTTCCTTTCCCCGGGTGTAAATAGCCGGGGGGAATTAGTACCCTCGCACTGCGCTTCGCGCCGTCGGCTCGGGGATGAACCTCGAAAGCAAACTTGTATTGATTCCTTTTTTATGTGACTGTGAGAGACGTACACATTTTCTAATGAATTTTTATGCACCAAGAACGGTTTTTGAAATGAGCTTTTATGCTAATTATTTGCTAGATAATTTTTACTGTTTTGATACTCAAATTACGCACACAAATTTGCTTCCTGCTGTGTTTTTCTGCAAATCCCTTTTAAGCGGACACCCATTTTAAGCGGACACTTAGGCGAGGTCCCAAAATGTCCGCTTAGTAGAGGTTCGACTGTTTATAATTTAGTTGATCCTAACTGGCTATGTTATGAATAATATAAGCATATACACCATCTGTGGAAAGTGAAGCCAGCCAGTCAGGAATCGTAATAACCTATCAGGGATTAATTATTTTAGTCATGTCTCCGTGATAAATGCTAAGCTTACTTCATTTTTAAATACCAAAGAGATGTTCTGTCCGTTCATCTAGTTTTGTAACCAAGGGCATAACGTTGGTCAACAGTAATTTAGGTACATGGTGCGGTGTATTATAAGTTCTACTTGTATTTCTAGTTTGATGATTTATTTTGAAGTTTAGTTTTAAAGATTTTACTGTAATACAGTTCTGAGGTAAATTTCTACACTTCTTATGTTTACATTTCTCAAAGTATGTAGGGCGTTGAATAATGCGAATAGCAATACTTTGATATGTAAGTGTGGATGTAGGTAATGGAGAGGCTACTGTTACTGCTGTATGCGTCAAGTTTACTGCCGTGTTGTAGCGTAATTTGGAAACGGAATTTCCATTAAAGGTTTAATTGACGTCATGAATGGTAAAAAAATAACTCAAATGTTAGGCTGCTTACAAAAATATACTTAGGCCCAAAAAATTTGATAAAACGATAAAAAAACGGTTGCTGAGAAGAAAAAAAGAAAAATGGTTTGACACACGATCATAATCTTGGTTACCATGGCAACATGGTTTAGGTAAGTACCAAATCATTACAGTATTTTATTCCGAGAAGAATTTTAGGAAAAGTCGTGAAGTTTCGTGCATTCAAATTTAAACTTGCAAAAGTTATAACCATTAAAATTTAAACGGGCACTTTCAACTGTCAGCAACCCCCCTCGCAGTCCTTATAGAGATGAGGTAACGTGCAGTTTACAAACATAGTTTGTTATTAATATAATATGAAGATTATAACTTGAACAATGTTATATCATAAATTAGATTCACTATACATATTTAATAATACAATACAATCACAGACAGTGTAATGAAAGCATAGCACACACCTTTACAAAACTAAGATCGCCACTGTCTTGTCCGTTAAAACTATACAAAGCCACAAAATTTTGTCCCTAGAAATATACGGAAGGTTAATAGTTAATACGCAAAGATGTTGTTTACAAGAAAAATACAAACTGAAATATCTGACGTTCTTTTTCAAAACTGTCTCACTGGACACATAAAGAAAAAAAATCAAAATTGTCAATAGTTAAAATAGTATAATCATGATTATTCTCGACCCAACAGCGAGAATCGCCGTTTAGTGTCAAGAGAACTAACTTCGCTCGGCTATTTACACCTGGAAGAGAAAGCATTCGTGAAGTCCAAAGCTTATCAAAAATTCCAAGTGGTTGTGGCTTTGCTTCATGTGTGAACTTGCTACTAATCTTAAAAAGTATGGCGAATTTCAGTGAAACGAATATGATATGCGGCAAGGGGAATGGGAAGGGGAAGGGGAAAGAGAAAGGGGTTAGAACGGAAAAATTGGCGAAGCTAACATGGCAATTGGTCAAGCGATGCCAATGTTAACCTGCATCAAAGTGGTTGAAGATAATTCATTTCTAATGGTTTGAAAATGCAAATCATAAAAAATTAGCAATATAGAATGTCCTGTCCCAGCTAGCACACAACGTTATCACAACGTTGGTAGAAGGTTGCGGTAATGTTAGGTCGGACCTAACTTTACCACAACGTTTAGGCGACATTGTTTTCCTTCTTTGTAATAAAAGTTCGTGTGATAAACGTTGTTGCAACGTTGTTGTTGGACGTTGCGATTGAGACGGCCAATTAACGTTTGTTCAACATCTATTTTACGACGTTGTGACGACTTTGGAATGCAACGTCTAAAAATGATATTCAGAGGATTAACTCGATCATGTGATCGACAGCCGGATAATTCATAATTGATGTGAATTTTGGTTTAACCTATAACGTCAACAACTGAACAACGTCGACACTACTGGTTTTTAGAATAATACCTAAATCTTATGTACATTTCAATTTAGCTATATAGCCTATATACTGGCAGGCTGGCAATCTAAAAACTCGAATTCTTCGTCTTCTTGCCGGAGTTGCCTTTTCTAAATTATTAAAATATTCAACTGGGCACCTAGCGGCGCACGAATGAGATATTCTCGCAGACGAGCAACATTATGATTGACGCTATTTTGCCCGATTTGACTACAATACGAACTTGGTCTGCTCGCCTCCGATAGTGAGAGTAAAACTATTTTAATAATTAAAGGTCGTTTTTCTTTCTTGTAATTCAAAACAGCATTTTATATAGAACACGAAAGTGCTGTGGCCGTGGCCGCCTTGGCCATGGGTTCTAATTTGCATGCGCGCATGCGTAAAGATTGCATCATTTCTATTCTTTCATCGTCACGTGGCATTTGAACGCATCCATACGTACCACACTGTCAACACTGCTAAACTGGAGCTCTAGAAAGCTATATTCGGATTTGAAGGCAATATTTATTTTGAGACAATTTGTTGATCCTACTGTTAAAAGTAAGTAAACACTTTTTACAAATAACGTTGTGTTATTTTTATTGTTTAAAACATTGGTATAGACGTGTGTATTATATTTGTGGCCGACTGTAATAAACAGGCTAACAGCTTCATTTCATGAACTTGACGACTTAAGAGGGAATCTCCACTATCACCGAGCAACTGGTGGCACATGATGAAAAATGAAATGTTTTCTTATTTTCTCCAGTGATAAACTAATGTATACTTAGAAACGTGATGGGGTTTGTTTTCTGAAATATTATTTTAAACGCCGAAAAATTATCAAAACCTGACATGTACCCAAGATTCGTGAAATTAGCTAAAAACTTAGTGAGTCATAGCCTCTCGAAAACTTCTTTTTGCTCAGTTCGCGTCTTCAGGAAACCTCACTTTCGGTTTTTAAACGTGTATGTAAGATGTTTATAAACAACGATAGTCTATTTTGCAATCTTTTAAATGATGTTTCAAAGTCAAGGCAAGCGTGTAAAAATCGCCTTATTTTGCGATCCAAAAAATTCTAAATTGTTACACTTTTTGAAAATTAATTTTCCGTATCCGGGAAAACTCCAATTTCGTTAAAATTTAGGGAATTTAAAGAGAAACTGTTGCTCTAATAGCTGATGTAAAAATTATTTTGGGGCTTTTTGTTACCGCGGAATTATACTGACTATAATATCGGGAAAATCACAAGAAAAACCTTAAGTTAAAAAATTTTAAGTTTGGTACATTTTTTGAAAATCAATTTTCCCTTTCCGGTAAAACTCCGATTTCCTTTAAATTTAGACAAATGTATGAGCAAATGTTGCTCTCAAATCTGGTGTAAAAAATATTATGGGGTGTTTTGTTATCACGAAATTATAATATCTATAATATACAGCCGATTATGTAGACAGACACTTATAGACAGGCAGTACGTCTAGACACAGCCTGCTCAGATAGACTGTCGAAACGTGAGGATTTATACTTGTTTTCTCTTGTTATTTGGTTTTGACAGATAAATTATAAATTATTTTGCTTGTTTATCGGGATTTTAGAGAAATAAATAGTCAATATGAACATCATGTTGCAAAAGCTCCGTGCGCGTGACATAATAATTAATAGACAAAAGATCAGTTATTGATAGCCTGCTTAAATCCTCTACTCAAAGTCTCAATAGCTCGTAAAATCAATCCGCATTATCTACTTTTTTCAAACTGAAATATATGTGCTTAGTTTTCTCTGAAGTAGTCGCATAAATCATTGAGATTAGGGCTAGATTTTATTAAACTCGCGATGTGACTACAATGACAATGTCAATGTAATTAGTGACGTGTTTGACAGTTTGTATAAATAAACTTCCGAATACACAGAAATTATAAAGTAATATCAAACCGGATGTATAGAACATACGCTGAATTTACTTTGTTATATGCACAATAACTGCATGTAAGCGACTTGCTCTTTTTAGAAACCAATTTGCTAATAATCATTCTTTTTTCAAGATCATGCGGACCTTATTTATCATTTAAATAATATACCCTTAAAATACTGACAATTGATTAATTTTAAGCAGCTACATTATCCATGACAAACTGCAAAAAATGAAGATATTACCCATACTTTTCTGCAACTTATCCAACATATCAGACTTATAAACACGATGTCATACCCTATCGGGAGTATCGTTAAGTTGAAGTTCTGAGCAATTTCAGAACTCTGTATGTCGCCGCCATGCCATTAAGTTGGGGCCATATCCCGCTTCCCCGGGGAAGCGGGATATGGCGTGTGACGTGCGTATTTTGAGCAATGTAAATTAGTCGCACTTCATGATATAACAAAATTGCTCGTTACAAATTGTATGAAATTCCATGTCTAAAACAAAAAACCAAATGTTGTTGAATGCTATTAATCATCTTCTTTCACTACATAACTTCAGGCGCATTCCTAATTTCGTTTAAAAAATATTTAAAGTTATCTAACTTTTGTTTAGGGCTGGAACACGTATTTCAATACCCTGGGTGCCAGAGGTTTTCAGGTTTTTAATTAAAGGTCTTGAGATTTCGCGTTTCAATTTAATTACACAGGAAACCCTAGCTGGGAAATTTTCTGAAGGCTCTGGAACCCAGGGTAGTATTTCAATTGCTCGATCAAAATACGTTACACTTCATTGAATCCCGGGTAAGCGGGACCATATATAAACAGCCTATTATAATCAAATTTCTCATGAGAGCGAAACGCAGTGCCGTAGCTAGCTCGATAATTGGGGGGAGGAGCAGATATTCATATATTCGTGTTCTGCGTTATTAATTTCTTTTGAAATCGATTGTTTTTATGGTCTGTGAACACGAATATATGAATATCTGCCCCTCCCCCCCCCCAGTTATCGAGCTAGCTACGGCACTGGCGAAACGCAAATTTTGTATCATCGCCTCTGATCATCGCCCATGTTTGTATATTTTAAATTCTGATGTATATTAAAATACGTATACTTTCAAACATCAAACCTCGCATCAGACTTATAGTTCTTCAGCGAAACTTTCAGTATACATATAGATTATAGCCGTAGGCGAAATTTTTCAGTTTTTAGAGCAAAACTAATTGTTTTGCCGCTTTTGGGAGCTTTCAATATGGTTGTAAAACTTTTGAAATGGATAAAAATTTACTATTTTCGACCCTCGACCTCGACGTACGACCCTCGTCATGAGCGTCAATTGCATTTAGGTAATGAGTTCCACAGTTTAGCTCCATCACAACAGAAGCTTTTCTTAAGGTCGAGAAATAAGCGAGATTTAAAAAAAGTTTTTAAATGTTTTCCACGTCATTTTAAAAGTTCTTTCAGATAAGGGAATCTAATTTCTATATTCATGCTATTTCCGATCATATCCCTCCTCAACAGGGCCGTTCCTAGACGCGATAATGGGGGGGGGGGGTATATTCATATATTCATGCTCGCTACCGTAAAAACAATCGCTTTCAAAAGAAATCCGTCGGGCAGAAGACGAATATATGAACATACAACCCCAATTATCACGCTAGGAACGGCCCTGTCCCTTTAATTAAACGACTGAACTTGCCCGGCTTCAATGAAAATAAGGCCGAAGTTTGACGCTTAAACTGAACTGCTTAGAGCACAACATCCTCAAATATAAGTAATTGACTGTTTATAGTAAGTATATATATATATATAGCCTTGAATCTAGCGAGTGTACAAGAGTTTCTAGTTTATTTTAATTGGCGCGCATGGATCGATCAATTGAAACAAGAATTTGAAGAAGAAATCTTAGTCTTGGAGACTTTAACAGCGTATTTTTATCTAGAAATAGGCAAACTAGTTTAAAATTATCTACGTCTTATATTTCCTATCAATAACAAGAGAAAACAAGCAAGAATGATTAAGGTTCGACTGTCTATAGTTGAAGCAAAGTGCCTAATTGTCTGAGGATTTTTAAGGTTTTTTTGTGATTTTCTTGATATTATAGTCAGTATAATTCCGCGGTAACAAAAAGCCCCAAAATAATTTTTACATCAGGTTTTAGAGCAACAGTTTGTCTTTAAATTCCGTAAATTTCAAGGAAATTGGAGTTTTCCCGGATACGGAAAACTAATTTTCAAAAAGTGTAACAATTTAGATTTTTTGGATCGCAAAAAAAGACGATTTTTACACGCTTGTCTTGACATTGAAAAATCATTTCAAAAATTGCAAATTGGACCCACGGTCTTTATAAACATCTTATAAACACAAAGGTGAGGTTTCATCACACGCCAATTGAGAAAAACGAAATTTTCGAGAGGCCGTAGCTCACAATTTTTTTTGCTAATTTCGCGAATCTCGGATATGTGTGAGGTTTTGATAATTTTCGGCGTTTAAAATAATATTTCAGAAAACAAACCCCACCACGTTTCTGAGTACACATTAGAGTATCACTGGAAAAAATAAGAAGATTTTTTATTTTTCCTCATGTGCCACGTATTCTCGATTTTGCTCGGTTTTAGTGGACATTGTCTCTTAAACTAGTTGTCCTCTAATGCGATGGTTTGTTTGTTAGAGTATTTACCTTGTATAAAAACGTTGATTATAAAGCATGGATTATTTTTATGTTTTGGTATAATCTGTATCAGTATTTACAATATTTGGGATGACCAGTTTTGCCACAAGAAATAAAACATTATTTTGAATCACGAAACATCGCTAGTGAGACGAGTACTTAAACAGTTTATTTGTTAATGCTACATACCAAAAGATTAGGGGCAATATAGATTCCAGAAAATCGTAGAACCTAAAACAAGCTTGTTTCAAATATTGATGTATTGTTTGCTTTAAAAACTGAAGTTACGTAGTGAACAAGACAGTGTATCCAATGTATTTTGGTAAAATAGAATTGTTTTTGTTATAATTTTCAAAATAGGAAAAAGAGGAGAGCCAGGTCATTTTCATGCGACATTTGCATAATTTGAAATCATTTTATTTTAGACTCACAAAGTTTATCGATAAAAGGCTGTTTACTATTACGAATATTTTAAAACCTTTTGCGAACATTTATGGCTGAATTTAACATTAAATTTAAGCTTATATTGTGTAGAATAACATTACATACACTTTCTAACCTATATATTTGGCAAATTGATAATTTTGTTATTAAAATATTTTTTTGGGATCTTTTTTCAATTTAAAAATATCAAGAATGATAAAGCGATCGTATAACCATGACAAGTACTTCGAATACGTTTGGCGGATATAGTTGGTTTGCTAACCAAACCGAGAAGCAGGCTGCGAGAAGCCTACGAGCAATCAACTACGTGATTATAGTTAAAACTATCCAACTAATTACGTTTTGTGCAAAGCAGTTAAGTCATGTAGTTAACTGATTCCAGTTAAGGATTTAACTGCAGTATAGTTAACGATAACTAAAATTAACATTCCCCTACACGCTTCCGATTGTTACGGCCCTGGTTTTAGTGTGGTCATGAGTTTGATATAGTGCTTGAAAAAAGGCAGGCAATTACCTCTTTTAGTAACATCTCTTCAGCGACATGTCTCATGATATCACCAACAAACCAACTGAAAATACAAAGGGTAACGCACGCATAGTACATTCACATTTATGTACCGTATTATGTAAAAAATAAAAATATTAAAGCTAGGAACTTACACTTCGGTTCCTAGGACACCTTTATGACGCACACCATTTGCTGGAATATAACCTGTCCTCCTATAAAAGTAGAAGGTATACTTTTTAAACTTCGTATTGAACGCTGTTTGGGCTTTGAGATAATTGTTCTATAAACAATGCAATATACGATCGTTTTTAAACCACCAAATCACGTTCGTGGGACCGGTTACCAACCTACATGAACATCTTTCATGATTAGTCGACTAAAAAATGAAACACAATGAAACTAAAGAATTAATTTTCTAAAGAACCAGTCACAAACACCGATCACTTTTGTTTAATCAAGCCAATCACAAAACCTTTTCTGTTTTGCTTCCTGTTTAAGCTGTGCATAAATAGAAGATATTAGACGGTTGCGATGAGATATGGATTTTATGTTCGGGAGGCAAAAACAATATCTCACGAGTGAGATATTGTTTTTGACACGAGAACATAAATCCATATCTTCTCGCAACCGTTTAATGTTCTGTTATTATATGGACTCATTCAGAGTGAAAAAGATGCACACAATGACGACATATTTAAATAAGCATGCCAAAGACCAGTATAAAAGCGAGATTTTTTAAAATTAGTCTATAGTGCAAACATAAAACTAAAATAAATTTTATTTATCTGTTTTATTTCCAAAGTTAATTTCGTTTTATATACAAACCAAAGACCGTTTGTATTTTTAAAACAACAACAATGAAAATGGCGGGAAATTTACGAACTTCGTATGTCACTGGCAGGGGCGAAATACGGAAAATACGCGCATCTGGTCCCGGATGTATTAACGTATGAGTTCTACGAATGTTTTAATTTCCAGTAAAAAACTACTGTCCATTTAATAAACTGAACTATTTTTAAACCTGAAATTTTGAGTATGTCGGATGTCGCTGCAAACTGGTCGTTTAAAGCACATGTACGGTACAGTTAGGCCAATTACACATATTAATAAAAATACATTAGTTTGTAAAATGCACGCAGAACAAGAAGTTAAACTTAATACAAATGGCGATGATGAGAGAAAGTAATTTCAATGCTTACCCATCTTTGTCTTTTGCAAGCCACCAATATCCCCCTTCACTTTGAAGAACTGTAAGGTCGTCTCCCTGATACAGTAAACAACGATAATCAAAACCAGGCGCTGAATAATGTTAAATATTATTCGGGGAAAATTTCTAACTGAACTAAAATTAGATCGGAGATTGTCAAACTTGGTAAGATAATTTTGTGACGTAAATTACTGAACACGCGTGGTGAGTCGAAATATTATAAAATGTGACTCCATTTTCAAATATAGATACATTGTCCCGAACAAGTATACGAATAATGCTCTTGCCAAAGTCAATTTTGCCCTAATCTCCAAATCAGCGAGGTTTGGTGAGTGCAGCGTGCAGTCATTGGTAACGATGCTAACCAGCATGTTGCCAGACATTTTAGTAGTAACATTCACAGTGTCTCATATATAAAAGTTTGATCCCTCTGTCCCACTTCTCGAAGCAATGATAGCCAATGATAGCCTGATCAAAAGACATGAATTGTACATTACTTCCAATAGTACCAATTAACCTTTTCCCAGGTTAACTTTAAATTCTCACTTTATTCCATAATTTTCTCATAATGGTATATAATTTGAATCTGTTGTAGCTTCCTGTGTATTTCTACTAATATCATTTTCGTCAATTTACTCGATTCTGATTGGTTAAAATCCGTTTCTGATTGGTTAAAATACACATTAAGCGGTACAAATACGTGTCTGAGTGCTTAAATGTAAGCACAAAATCGAAACAAATAGCGCAAAAATTAATATTTTCTAGCTGTAATGTTGTTTTATTATCATATAGAACTTAAAACAATCGTACATAACATGAACCTTCGGTATTTATGCTATTTAGGCTACATTCATGATTAACATAAATGTTATTATAACATAGCATTTGTAAATTCTGAACGCTGATTGGCTAAGAGCCGTGTTGATATAACTCAATGTCAACACGGAAACGTCGGAAAATTTCTTTCTTTATGTTTCTTTGTGCTACATTATAAAACAAATATAAAACATTTTTTCCGTATTGATATATAGTTATATCAACACTCGTGGAAGTTGGGAAAACTCGAAATTGTATGAAAACACTCCGCCCTTCGGGCGTCGTGTTTCCACACAATTTCTCGTTTTCCCAATTTCCACTCGTGTTGATATGACTGTTTATCACATACTTGTACCTTTATCAGGTAGGAAGCAGCGGGACATAAAAACGATATCCCGGATATCGTTTTTTGTCCCGGATATCGTTTTTTGTCCCGGATATCGTTTTTTGTCCCGCGAAATTTCGCGCCTTGTCAAAACAAAGATGGCCAACTCGAGGTTCGTGTTGGTTGATGTCGACAGTTTTATCGAAGGAAACAAGAACGATAATATCGTTTTTTGTCCCGCTAAATTTCGCGCCTTGTCAAAACAAAGATGGCCAACTCGAGGTTCGTGTTGGTTGATGTCGACAGTTTTATCGAAGGAAACAAGAACGATAATACAAAACGAAAGACTTAAATTGTATATTATTTATATGAATGGTCTATTTATTTTCTAAAATCGTATTTGTTCAGTAAATGATGAATTTTTTTAATTCTAAAATGATCCTTTTTTTTCAAAACCGTTTATTTTTGGGTGTCAAACCCTGATAAAGGTACAAGTATATAATAAATAGGTTATCGTACTCGGGATTCGATGATATCAGTTTTATCGCTCTCGGGACGATATCACAATTGTCCCTCGCTCGCTGCGCTCGCTCGTGACAATTGTGATATCATCCCTCGAGCGATAAAACTGATATCACCTCATCCCTTATATGATAACCTATATATATCAACACGGAAAATGTTTTATATTTGTTAAATGTAACTTATCAACACCTTACTCCTTATAATTTTTTTTTTGCATATTTTTTTTAAAACAAAACAAAAAAACCTAAAAAAATAATATAAAGTTCAAATAAATGTTCTTATAAAGAAGAATGTTCCAAGAAAACCTGAAAGTACTAAGTTCAGATTCATGTTTCTTAAGGATTAAATGTCACCGTATATATCTTTAATTCTTACTGGCGATTTACGAATTCTTGTAGAACGACGTAAACGTGCTGGCTGTGTTTACTGTGTGTTTCCACCGTTGGAGATGATCGCGCCGTTATTTGGTCCTCGGTTGATTCCATAGATAATGGAGTTGGTGATGGTAAGGTTTGGGAGGGGTATTATTTCAATTCTTCCTGCTTCGTTTTCTTGAGGGCCTGCGGTGTGACTTCAGCTTTTCGGAGTTGTTTATGGTTTCGTTGAATTAGTCCAACAGCCGTATTCACTGCACACGATCCGTGACCGCGATTTTTTAAGACTTCTCCATATATCCATAGCTTGTGCTTATTTTTCGGATTTGGTTTCACGAAGACTTGATCATTTTGCGAAAACGTGTTCAGAGGTTTATGTGATACTGTTGTTTGGACCGGACTCTACGCGAAATTATATCATTCACAACTTCAGTGCTGAAAACAGGATGTGGTTTAAGTTGTTGAGGTACGGACACGGAGATATCTCGTAGTTTCCGATTCATGAGCCTCTGAGCAGGTTAGAACTTGTGGCCCTGTTGTGGAGTGTTCCTGTATGCCAGTAATGCCAAGTAGGGATCTTCATGCCGTGCTTTCTTCAGACTATTTTTCGCCACCTTTACCGCAGATTCTGCGATTTCTTTGCCTTTGTAATGACGTGTTGGTTTGAATCCATATTCACTGGCGAATTGGCTGTACTTATGACTACTGAATTGTTGACCATTCGCAATGACTCATACGCAAGGAATTTCTGCTTTGGCAAAGTTTTTTTCATAGCGTTGATAACTGCCGTTGCTGACGTATTCTTTAGCCAATTAATTTCAATGAAATTAATAACTGTAATAATCAGCAATTACCAAGTACGTTTTACCATCCAAATGATCCAATCGAAATAGACCAACACTTATTCGCTCCAATGGAAGTCTCTTTAACCGGTTCGGTTGGTCGTTCTGATTTATACTGTGCACATTGACCACATGATGAGCAGGTTTGGCGTATTGCCGCTGACGTACCTGGCCAGAATAGTGCTTCTCGGGCTCTCCTTATACTGCTGTTTGCACCATGATGAGCTTTGTGAATCTTGTTTACCATCTCTTGTCTCATTGATGGCGGGATCATTACTTGATGAGACTTCAATAGTACACCATTGTCAAAGAAATCTCGTTTCTGAAGGACTAATATGGCCGAAGGTCTGCAGGTAGCAATGCTCTATATAACGACCATCCGGACACCGGACTGTAAACATGTCTCAACAGCTGTGCTTTTAAATTTGTATTATATTTGATGTGCGATAATCGTTATGGACTCAAATAAGTGCAAAGGAAATAGCCTAATACACGGCATTTCGATAAACAATAAAGGAAAGTTAATCTGGAAGGATTCCTTCGAAAAATTAAAGAAATTTGTCGAAGAATTTTTACCGACAACTGATGGCGAATGGGGTTGCCCAGGTGGAGACGTGAAGCAATACAAATCTGTAGATTTAGATCTTAGATGGCGTCCGAGTACTCGTTCAATAACTCTAAATGGGAAGTTAAAGGAGAGTATCAACGAAAAACTGATTCATCTAGCACTAGTTACTGGTCAATTAAACAATAAAGACACCGAACACGCTGCTACAGATAAGTATTGCACGAATGAACCCGAGCTTTCTGACTGTAATTGTGCTCATCTTAACGCCGATATGGAGGGTATTAAACTAGATATGACGATTTTAGAATCACGAATGCTTGCCGCAATATCTGAAAACGAGCATGAGTCGGATATTATCTCGCTAAGAGTAAAACTAGTAGATATGGAAGCCGTTGTACATAATCAAGACGAAATTATTTCCCGACTTAGCGAAGAAAATCTATCCTTTAGGTCAAGGTTATTAAACCTTGAAAAATTAGTGCATTTCATGTCCCAAGAGTATCGGAACAAAAGCAGTGGAGCGATTAACCTATCTAATATTACAAAAGAACCATCAACGCGTAACCGCAAGCAATCTATTAATTTGAATAAAAACAGTTTGAGTTCACCTCGAAATATCGATAACAATCTACCTAACGATAACCACAAATATGTTAGTCCGTCTGTAAGTAATATTGATTTTACGGCAGACGTGCCCCAGCCTAATTCTCAAACTAAACAGAAAGTAGATCTTACGGCAGACGAT